ATACAGGCCACAGGGCACTATAGGTAGCCTATACAGGCCATAGGGCACTATAGGTAGCCTGTATACAGGCTATAGGGCACTATAGGTAGCCTATATACAGGCCACAGGGCGCTGTAGGTAGCCTATATAGGCCGTATGTGACTAAGTCACCAAGTTTCTAAAAGTGACTGAGTCACTTAGAAACTCATAAAAAAAGTGACAAAAAACCCTCTTATAGTAGGCGGTCAGCCCCTATAACGCTATGTCTTAGCGAGGTACTTTACTACAGGGGTACTATAGGGATTCGTGTGAAAACGACCTAGAACAGTGAAATTAATGTAAAGTTATGTAATTTAATACAAAGTGACTCAGTCACTCGACATCCAAAAAACTCAAGATCAGGGCATAAGTCTGCCTGATCTATGAGACGTGGCTGCCACGATCCACAATTCGTCACACATTATGAGGAGTAGCCGCACAATAACTTTGTGCCCCTTTTCTGCGGCATATCATAGTGGTGCCTGGTCAGAACTATCATTCAGATAGCCTCCTCTAGCTGCCGCCTGGAGCGCTGTCCGAGCCAAAGCCGACGATTGTCGTATTGAGGCGGGGCGGACCATATAGACGAGGCCTAGCGGAGCAAAACAGCATGGTGATCGGGTGTGCAACATTTGAAATCAATAGCAATCTGTTTAAGCTGCCCTACAAACTAACTACATTTCGCACCGCAAACATTATCCCCAAAGCCCCACTCGGTAGTGGAGATACTCACTCAACCAACGACGTCCCACTCCGTGATGCAAAAGCGCCGATGAAGTTGGCAAGCTTCTCCGCACCCTCGAGAGAAATCGAGTTGTAATTGGATGCTCGGACACCTTTTAGCTCGCGATGACCCTTCAGTCCAGTCAGCCCTACAGCAGCAGCATCCCTTAAGAATGCTTCTTCGATAGCATCGCCACCTATAATCCTGAAGCAGATGTTCATACGTGATCGTACCGCTTCATGGGGGATGATCTGGTAGATGGTAGGATAAGCCTCAAGAGCTTTGTAGATAAGCTGAGCTTTCTTTTGGGATAGGATCTGCTGTCCTTGGACTTTATCGGGATGTTGCAGCAATAGCTGCTTCAAAACCCGACCTGCAATGAATACACTGTAGAAAGGTTAATTTGAATTTATAAGATAAGGTATTTGAAGAAGCGATACTAACTCAAGAATACTTAATGTATTGTAGAGACTATTATTTTTAATAATAGTTTCGAATTCGAAGATACGAGGTGGGATTGGTAATCCGAGCTGTCTCATCAAGGCTGTGGAAGGCTGTGGTAAGAAGCGTTTCTGGATGATGACGACAGTAATACCAGTTGATCCGAGGTTCTTCTGGGCGCCGAAGAAGATGGCTGAGAAATTAGATATCGGGATCTTCCTCGAAAGGATATTCGAGCTCATATCAGCGACAACGATTGGACTGTCTAGCCCCGGCTCGAGAGACTTAGGAAATTCGGGGAATTCGACACCTACCAACCAAAAGTATTTAGTACTCAGTACCTTCAAATGTCAATAACTTGAAACATACCGTGAACCGTCTCATTGTCGCAGTAATAGACCATGGCAGCATCGTGAGATAGATTCCAGGTATCCTCGTTCGGGATCGTTCCAAACTTGCCACCATTCGCTTTACGGCTATCAGCCACGATATTGACGTATTCCGAGCCAAAAAGCCGCTCGGCTTCGGACGCTGCTTTCTGTGACCAGCTACCAGTAATGATATAGTCCATCTTGAGATTCTCCACGGCCGACTTAAGCTTTAGGACTATGCTCTCATCACTTTCCGAGACCTGCACCTCCTTGTATTTGCGGGTGACCCAGTTGCCAACAAAGTTGTATGCCATGGCAGAAAATTGTGCGGAGCCTCCTCCGTGCATAAAACAGACTTCGTAACCGTCTGGAATGTCCAGGTACGAGACCAGATCGGCCTTGGCCTCATTGATTATGGTAGTTGCAATCTTCGATCGATGCGAATGTTCGGCAACTATATATGGAGAAACCAGACGTCAGCATCAGTCATCCGAGACAGCCGTCAAAAGGTCACTTCAAGATCCGTCCTGGGGATAATGGCGGAAGGAGGACGACGGCCTCTGGGAGCTCCATACCGCCGAGGCCAGTTGCATTATAATTGAGGAGCGCCACGGCGGCTTCCTCGAGGACGGCAGTAGGTAGCAAAGCTGGACCTGCACCGAAACTACCACAATCACGAGTCAGCAATATCCCATTCAAGAATCTTCAGGAGCTGCATCGGGAACATTGAGCCATGTACGAAAGACACTGCTGCTTCTACGGTAGGCTAGGAAGGGGAATATCAACGAGCTGTAAAAAGTTTCTTACTAGGTGATGTCTGATCTGGAGGGCATGGCGGGGATGGAATCGTGATTGCTTGGGTTTGTTGGGGCTTGAGATATTTGACTGATAAGGAGAACTGGTCAGGAATGTGACTTTTGAGTGCAGCGTGCCAGAGAGAAAAGTGCATGCAGGAGGAAGAATTGCATGAAATGTCGCACACATGTGCGCGACTAATGGGAGCCGATAGCGGAGCAGCAGGAGAGCCGCTCCGTGCGCGCGCACGGACCTTGGAAAATCCCTCCAGGATTTCTCGGGCATGGAATGGTCAACCTTTTTACCACAGGTACTTTGACGTCAATACATCGCGAATGCCGCGATGTCTCGTTGATACACCGGCCTGGCTACGTGTGCAGCAGAGGCTTTCACACATCTTCATCGCTCTCGCTATCCTCAAAGTGGAAGATTATCTTCTTTATACCTTTTGAGAGGCACCCTGCTGCGGCATTCATGGGTGTCGGCATATTTATGGTCATGTGACCAGCTGGCCATTTGGTCAGCTGATCAAATGCCCCCTGCGCTGACCCCCGCCATTTAGCTGGCTGGCTCCCGAACGGTTCAGCAGCTGAATCAGCTGACCAATCTGGCAGGCGGTGAGCTATTCTGCCGCCTGCATTCACTCCCAGCTAGATTTGGTCAAAACACCAAATCTGCTCCCAGCCAGATGGATAGAAATCCATCCTTCTTTCTTCCCACGTTTTTGGTGACCCCATACAGTGACCGCACCACACCCCTAGGATCTAAGTCACACATCCCTCTAAATTACGCGTCACCGTACCAATCGATCAGAGCAGCAATGGTAACAATTCGTTTTTGATTACTGCTGAGGGATAAAAGGCTAAGATTGTGACAACCAGGCAGTATCATGCGTCTATGCAGAAAAGTACGATTGCCATGAGACTTTCGAGACTCAAGTGGAAGCTTCCAATCATGGCATCACCAACCATTTTCACATGGGTTCTACTTACCGGAGGGATGAACAAGGTCGGGTGATGTGTCCTTTTGCATCAAAGCTCACTTGTACGACGACGTTCGAGAGGTACCAAGATGTCCAAAAGCATTTATCTTCGACGCACCTAGGACTGCAGCTGCCCTGTCCAGTTGTAACTGAAAATGGCTGTCAAGGAACATTCAAGAACATGAGCAGTTTGGGAACTCATATTAACCAGCACCATCGCTCACGTCAACAACATGACTGTCCTTGGGCTGAACGAGCGAACTGTAAAGCTACTTTTACCTTCCCGAGCCAAGTACAGGCACATGTCAGAAAGGTGCACGAGAAGAGAAAATTCCCGTGTCCATTTACGAACGAACACGACTGCAATCACACGTTTGCCAGCCAAGGTGCCGCCCAGGAACATGCAAAGGTAGCGCACGAGAACATTCGCTATCCTTGCCCGCTTGCGAAAGAGAACAATTACGAGTTGGTTTTCCGTAGCAAAACCGCAGCGAACATTCATGCAAGCTCAGCACACGAAAACCGTCGATTTCCGTGCCCTCAAGCTGATGAGCACCATTGCCTCAAAACGTTCGCGTCTAAGCAGGATGCAAAGAAGCACTCACTTAAGCACATGGGGATCAGGTTTCCATGCCCTCAAGCCGACAAGTATAGCTGTCCCAAAACGTTCATATCCAAACGCGACGCAAAGGAGCATTTACGGGTACACTCGGCGGCCAAGCTTAGATGCCCTGTTGCGGAAGAATATGGGTGCGATTCAGTTTTCACTTGGCCAAAGGAAGCTCGGAGACACGCGAAAATTCATACTCACCATTACATCTGTCCACGTACTGGTTGTCATGAACGATTTCAATCCTCTGATGACGCTCTGTTACATGCGGAAGACCCAAATCACCGACATATCAGACTCTTTCTATGCCCCACCCAGACGTGCCGGTCAGCCGTGACCGGCAAGCGATTGACTCTGAGCGAGGTAGAGAGACATCGAGAGTTACATGTCCGCCTCGGGCATATCAATGAATCTGCGGATTTCATCGCGCCACCAGCGAGCCAGCTTCCAATGCGCAGCGACATGCCCTTATACTCGCTCATTCTCCAGCACAGCAGCCTTTATTCAGCGAAGAAAACTCAACAAAATGAGTCATCCCTGGGCATTTGTGAAACTGAGGGCGATTCCGATCACGAGGTCAATTTCGAGGACATCTCCGATGCAAGCGATTGCGATGGTGAAATAAAAGAAGAGTCCTTCTCAGAAGAAGAATTACATGAATTTGAAAGTGGCATTCTTACTAAGGAACATCGCCTGCGGATTCTTGAACAGAACACTACAATCTGGAGTGTGTCCCATTCTCTCCTTATTCCTTACTTAATCTACATCTAACGAGTATCGGTGGAGTAGATTCCAGTCGAGAGTGCATGGTCAACCTTGAGCATTTTGGCCACATGTGTCGTGGACCTACTGGCGGTACTCGCCATATGATTTTTGATCGATGTCCAAAAAGTATCATAATAGATCTGGATACCGCTCGTCTCCGGCTGCGAGGGCGCGGAAGTTCTGCCAAATTCTTTCTCGATACCTGATGCGTTGGATGCCGCGTCTACTACCAATTGTCGTTGTTCTTGAGGCATGAGGGTATAGAACCCTCTCGAAAGCCCGAGACGGGGACCTCTGTTTGCGCGGCAAAGGGCTGCGAGGGGCTCTCCTTCTATGGATACGACTTCTGCTCTGACCACCTCTCTTATTTGCTCTTGAATAATTCTATGGCTATGGCAAGGCCAAACCCCAACATGGAGCTGTTGAACGAAATATTCAACTCTGCGACTCGAAGCGAGTGGACGTTCCAGCCTCCGTATAATATCGTGCGCAGCCGAATGGATGAGATTTTACGAGGCAGGCGGCCTGGTACTGACCTCATTATCTTGGACGATGAATTCTCACCTACATCAAGGCAACTCTAGGAATTTGCTATGATAGAGCGAGTTTCAGGCAAAATTTTGATCAATACCACCATTGATCACCAAGATATAATTACGCACAACACAAAGACACTTCCATTCTGGAGTCACATTGCCAGGTCTAAAGCGAAAGCGGTTTTTTCATCAACCCGAAAAGACATTAGCCACATGGATGTTCACGAAGTTGCCTTGAAAATTCAACAAGTAGGAATCACCCAAGACACAATCATCCTAGTTTATCACACATCCACCTTCGACCTGACGCTCCTTCGACAGTTCTTGGAGTCAGCTGGGTATTTTGGTGTTCTGCCACCAGACAAGAACTGCATACCCATGGTCAATATTCTTCGCCCGCATCTATCAAAACGGTTGCCATCAGGCAGGTTATTTCCTCTGAGGCTGGATGTACTTTTCACCCTCATGTACCCTCGACATGGCTTGGTTGGGTTAAATCACCAAGCGATAGTTGATTGTCAACAGACGCGACTTGTGTGCATGGCCTATGAAGAACTCTGCAGACCTATTGCGGAGCGAGGTCGGGAATGGCAACCAGATATGGTTGCACCGTCTACACAGACGTGCATCCTCGACTGGCTCACGCGCAGAGATGGCGCCGGCGACAGCAAGGTAACCCTCTGATAAAACGACTCATGTCTATAGAGTTGGACATACTGGCCCCTGGATCTTTTGAGTCTGATAGTTGCGCCTGAAGGCGAAGGATCTCTAGGAGAAGTAGGGGATACGGCCACCTGATGTAGCGGCTGGAGGCGGAGATGCGGGACTTGCGAGAGCTGCGGGAGGAGCTGCGGTCGCCGCGTCTTGGGGGACCTGAGGTTCGGTTGGCAATTCCAACTTTTTCTGGCAGTCTCTTCAGCTTTTCACAGGTAGCCCGCGGGTTTTGACTATGTAGGTTGGCAACTTTGGTCTCATGGTCCCAAAACAAGACCATACAGTAGTGTTCTTAATAGAACTGCATTCTGACTGAAGTTTCATTTCGAATATACTAAGGTGAAACGCAACCTAACGTGCCGCGGCCTCCGTCTCGGGCCTAGAGATGAAGACACGGTTAGCACATGTACTGATGGCGGCCGGAGAAGCATCCTACGCGTTGTGCTGGCCGAATCTTCCCCTTATCAACGCTTGACTTGATCTGACAGCAGCTTCGAGGTCCTGACCCCATGGCAAAACGAAATGTATAGTCTCTAATGGGGAGTGCACAATCTCTCCTGGCCATGCCGGAATCCCCATGGTACTTGCTCGGCCTTATGCGAGAAATTGTACGTCGAACACCGCAAGCATAGAGGGCTTAAAGTCACTTCAATAGGCCGGCGGCCTAGGTATCTTCCCTCTATTCGACCGGCTCTCGTTTCAAGATGTCTGCAAAGAATGGCTGCTCACTGTGTCATATTTTGGCTTCCGGCCCATCGCTCGCGGGCAAAGGCTGCGTCTACAGTGTGCACATCTGGGACAAGAATACCTCAAGGCCCCTCTGGCTGGATTTCTGAATCTCTGACTGAGTCTGGTTCCAGTTCATCCCCGTGTACAGGTAGAGAACCAAGACCTTGCGTCCAACTTCATGTCCAAGACACGCACCTGGTATATATCCTATCTCTCCTACATTGTAGGTCTACCTTTGTCTATTAAATTGCGATGCCCGAGGAATTAGTGCGGGCACGCCACCGGAAATATACATACTCAGCAGACTAACGAAGATCAATAGGAAAAGTGTTTCCTAATAGTGCAGCAAATTAATACGATAGACATGTAAATTAACTAACGCTAGTTATTAATCTATAGCTACTTAAGACGCCTAGTGAAAGCTTATCTAGCTAATATAGGAAGATATTAAGTAGGTAAGTAAGAAGCTTATATAACTCTCTTTTACCTAGAATTACTAGTACTTAAATAGCTATCGCTTAGACCTTAGTGTCTTTCCTTAATTAATACCTAGTAATAGTAGCGCTAGAAAGAGCCTAGACTTATTTATTAAAGAGGAGAAATAATAAAATTCTTTTATATAGAATAAAATATTAAAGTTAATTTAACCTTTAACTACTTTTAAATTATATACCTTTTTATTAATAAATTTACTAACTACTATAATTTTAGTTTAATAGTATTTTTAAATCCTCTATTAAGCTTAAAGTATATACCTAAGTAAGTAAGTCTCTAAGTATATAATACTAACACTATACCCCCCTACTATTAGGCTCTTATAAATTATATTAAGCTTTAAAATATTTATTTCTAACTATTTAACCTATTATAAAAGTCACGCCTTATAAGTGCCTATAGTATAGATTTTTCTTCCTTTTATACTACTAAGTTATTATAAAAATAAATAACTTACTAAGTATTAGTATTATACTATTACCTTCTTTATTTAATATTATTAAAAAGAACCCTATTTATTATTATAGTATTAAAGAGGTTTATTATTTACTCCTACCTTATATACTATACTTCTACTTACCTTTATAGGTTATCTAAGCTTTTATATATAGTATAAGCTATAATTAAGTAAAGGTAATAGTGTATATTTTTATAAACCTTAACTCTATACTACTAATCTATAGTATTCTTCTAGTTATAGAACCTACTAACCTCCTTATACTACTAGTATAATTCTTAGGCCTTAAGGTAGTAGATACTATTAATTAATCTAATAGTAATAATAAGCCTCTTAGTTTTAAACCCCTTTTTATAATAAGTAAAAAGCCTAATAACACCTATTAATATATTATAGCTATAGTTAATAGACTTTCCTTAGATTTACACTTTATAAATATCTTAATTAAATTATAATATAATTTATAGTATAAGAGGGCCTAAATAGATTATAATATATATTAGTAATAGTATATAAACCTAAAATTAAGATTATAAAGTAAAAAGAAAGTAAATAATATTTTTAAGAATTTAAAAGATAATTACTATAGCCTATAATCTAGCTTATATTTTAAGTTAACTATAGAAAAGTATTATTATATAATTATTATATAATATTACTATACTATTAAGTATAGTAAAGAAAAGTATATATATTATATAATTAAAAAATTTATTAAAAAGAATTATTAAATAAGGTTAAAAAGGGTTTATTAAAAAGAAATTATAAAATAAATAAAAAGCTATTATATATTAATAACACTTCTAAACATAATTAATAACTTATTATAAGGGTATTAGTTATAATAATAGCTTATCTCTAAGTTATAAAAAGGTCTATTTCTTAGGTAAAAAGTAGTATTAAATATATATATAAAGTATAATAAGTAGAGTATAATTAATAAGGTAGCTATTAGGTAATATTATACTTAATAGTTAATCTATTACTTAGATTAATAAGTAAAGATCTAAACTATTAAGTTTAAAAGAACTTCTTCTATATATATAAGTTTTAGCTTTTTATCTAAATAATATAATTATCTTAATTATTTATTTATTTATTAATCCTTAATTATAATAATTAATAGATAATCTATTAATTACTTTTATTAAGTTATATAACTAAGTATCTTATAATAGCTATCTAGTTATAGCTTACCCTAATCTACCCCCCTTAGTCTTATATACCTATTACTTTATTTATAATATAATACTCCTCCCCTAGTAGTCTTATCCCTAAAGCTATTAAAATAAGTTACCTAGGTAGTAGGTAGTTTTTCTCTTTTATATTATTATATCCTTATTATACTTATTAATTATATTATTAAGTAAAAAATAAAAGCCTCTTAGGTATTATCTTTTTACTATAATAACCTTCTTATAGTTATCCTTATAAATCCTTTTCTTTAGATAATACCTTCTTATATTATTTATAAAAATTATAATATCTTATAATACTAAGTCTCCCTTTTAAACTCTTTTTATTATATAAAATATATTTATCTAAACTTATTATAATATAATATTTAAGAGGTAATATTTACTTAGCTATAAAATATTATTACTTAGTATATTAAGCTTGAGTATAAGTTAGAAGAGGTAAAAAAGAAAGTCTTTTATTTTTAAAAATAAAAGAAATTATAGTTTAAGAAAATAATAACGTGGTTA